GTCCCCTAATAAGACTGTGTTTCCAGTGAACACCCAAAGCATAGTTGTGGCGCTCTTTGTATATGCCTTGGTCAGAGCATCAGCCAAAGCTTATTTTTTCCTGTGTGCCTAAAGCCTCATAGAGCTGGACACTGAGGAGGCTTCATCAGTGTTGGCTAAGTGAACAGTTTAAGGAAGGTGGGTGGACTGACTGTCAGTCCCTGTCAGAAAGAGTGAGCAGAGCTACCTGATTGTCTTTATCTTCCTTTTCTGTTCACAGAGAGTTCATCTGGACATTCAGGTGGGTGAACACGCCAATGACTATGCAGAAATTGCTGCCAAAGATAAGTTGAGTGAATTGCAGCTACGAGTACGACAGCTGGTGGAGCAAGTAGAGCAGATCCAGAAAGAGCAGAACTACCAACGGGTGAGTGGCTAAGCTGGGATCAGTGGGTTTCTCAGAAGCTGCTCACTGGCTCAGCCAGGAGTTACATGTCAGATTTATTATGGAACCCAAGAGACGTACCTGTTTGTGCTACTTTGCAAGTCTAAAAGGTGGCATGGCTATTATTAACTCTGTTTTGTAATTGAGGAGACAGTCTCTTAAAAGGCTGTTATTGCCCTAGGTCACAAAGTTACACAAAGGCACAGAGTAGGAATTGATACCAAAACTTGGGTGCTCTGTGGCTCTAGGTGCTTCCAGGACCAGGAGTTTCAAGCTCACTTGTGTCCAGGAGTTAGGCAGGTTCCATGAGTGGACCTATGACTGTAAGGATTGGTAAGACAATCCTACTTAAACAGGGACAATTATTGTCAGCCAAGGACTGATAGGAATGAAAGCTAGCCCTGGGTTTTAAGAGGAGCTAGAAGTCCAGGTTTTTTATGTGAAAAAATTCCTGGCTTTTAAATGTTGGCAGAATACTGTGTGAGCTAAACAAAAGACATGTATGGGCCAGGTATAGCCCCTGGGCCACCAATTTGCAACCTGTGCCTATAGTCTTCAACGAGCAGTTTGGGAAATCTGGGCAGAGGGCTCAGAGGAAGTCCACTCCTGAGTGCTTCAGGACAGCTCTGTCTGATGGTGATACCGAAACTACTTTACCTGTCCTTTAAGCACCAGGGTAGGACCAGGTGAGGGCTGTACCTGACAGATGAACAAAAAGACAAGTTGCCTGAGGTCATTTGGCTAGTGAGTATGAAGACAGTCCTCACTTAGGGTGGCTTTTTGCAGCATTTGACTGGAAACTGAGCAGAACTGGTTGGCCCTGGGTTATCTTCCAGAAAGGGAACACAGCAGTTCTAGTGGCCCCAAGTGGGGCCCAACCAACTCTGGCTCTTCTTCCATTCTCCCCTCCCACAGTGGCGAGAGGAGCGCTTCCGGCAGACCAGCGAGAGCACCAACCAACGGGTGCTGTGGTGGTCCATTCTGCAGACCCTAATCCTCGTAGCCATCGGCGTCTGGCAGATGCGACATCTCAAGAGCTTCTTTGAAGCCAAGAAGCTGGTGTAGCCATTCTTCCTCCCAGGCTGGGGGAGAATGGGCCTCCTGGAACTGATTTCTCTCTGGCAGGAGGACTGGTTCCCAGCCATGGATGTTCTGGAGGGAAGAGAGGTCACAGGCACCCCAGGCACAAGCTGAGGGGAGCAGCTCAGCTGGCTAATACTGAGCAGGTGGTGGGGCAAATGCCTGCCCTCTCCTCTGGGCTCTGGGCCTTTTGCAGTAATCTCCTAGGGGCTGTTGAAGCCACTGGGAGCTCCAGTGGCACCTCAGAATCAGAATGTTACTGATCAGGGATGTGAGGCTGTTGTCTAGGATGGCTTCGGGGAGGGGAGTGGGTGGGCAAGCCGGTTTTCTTTTTGTCTTCCTTTGCTAACTTGGGATTTTGAGCAGGTTGGGGTATAGCTGTGATTCCCTACCATCCTGAGAACCTCCTTGGGCCTAAACCCAGCCTGCTGATCCAAGGTGTGTGTGTGTCAGTTGTGGGCGGGATGGAAGGGGTTATAGTGTGGGAAAGTGGTCCTGAGGTTGACCCCAGGTTCTTCACATGATTGTCCTTTTTGGGGCTTGAGGAGCTGGGGTCAGGGCAAGCAGAAGTCTTGGTGCTGGCTGGGGATGGGGCCTGCAGAGTCTTAGTTACTGATTTCATTTTCAATAAGCCTAGGTTTGTTACATTGGTTTCCCAATAAAAATTTTAAAAAATAGGCTTCTTGTCCAGTATAAAGTTACTCTACTGTCAGTGGGCATAACACTTCGAGGTTCTTCAGGGAATGTCAGTTCTTCCAGTGAGCAAAGCACTTCACATTCCAAGATGAGTACCCACCTGTGAACTTCATTCTATTCATCCCCTCCATACCTTCCTGCAGTAGGGAGTAGTGGTTTTGACCAAGAACATCCAACAATTAAGTTGTGTTTGGGCTGAAATCCATACCATTTCCTCTGCACCAGCTCCCTCATGAAGTGCCCTCCGTGCCTTTCCAGAGTAGGTGGCTTCAGAATAGACTTGTCATGGTGCTATAAGGAAGTGCCTAGTTAGAATAGAGTGCTTTGAACAGGAATGCTGCAGGTGTGGGAAAGACAGGGATCCCTGGACTGGTAGGGAACAAGGATAGTGATGGGTTTAAACAGTAGCATGGAATTTCAACAAGAATCTTGAAGGAGAGGAAGGATTCTGATGAAAGGGCAGGGATGGTTGGGGGAAGTGAAGACAAACAGCTGGTATGGAGATGAATGGGCATTATTTCAACTGGAGTTGGTAGGGGTTGTGAGAAGGCTGGAAAGGAAGGTTGGTTAGAATTAGAAGCACCTTGAGTCCCAGGTAAGAGATTTGGACATTTATTGGACATTACCCGATGTTCAACAAAGCTGTGTTTTTTTTAACACTTCTCCCCTGAGGATATTTTTTCCATTGCTTTTGAGAGAGATTGGTTGCCTCCCGCATGCACCAAGAGGGCAGCTGGGGAATGTGAGCCTACACCAGAGGTGCGTGCTCTTAACCAGAATCGAACCTGAGACCCTTCAGTCCTCAGGCTGACACTCTAACCACTGAGCCAAACTAGCTTGGACAGCAAAGCTTTCTGTAGAAGAATCCCCTGAATAAAAATTTGAGGAAGGTTGATCCAGCAGTGTTCAAGAAAGAGACAGGGTAGGGAAACAGTTTGGGGGGCTACTTGACCTGCTGGGAGGATGTCATCTGAGCTCATCTTATATAACACACTTCCACACTTAGAAAAAGTAAACTTTTAGAATTACAAAAAAATTGTGAAGATAGTGTCCCCTATTGTTAACATCATGGATTAGTATGGTATATTTGTTAGAAATTAATCTAGCAGTACATTATTTTTAACTAACATCCATATTAATGCAGATTTCCTAAGTTGTTACCTAATGTCCTTTTTCTGTTACAGGATGCCATCTATGATATCACATTAGATTTAGTTGTCTCTTTTGGCTTCTCTGGCCTGTGACAGTTTCTCATACTTTCCTTGTTTTTTATTACCTTGACATTTTCAGGAGTACTAGTCAGGTATTTTGTAGAATTTCCCTCTGTTGGGATTTGTCTGCTGTTTTTCTCATGATTGGGCTGGGGTTCTGGGTTTTTGAAAGGAAGACCACAGAAGTAAAGTGCCATTTTCATCCCATCATATCAAGGGTACTTATAATCAGCATGACTAGATGTCACAGTTTAAATTTAGTTAATTTGGATTTTTAATGTGAAATCTGGTTTCTTGAGATAAATCTGACACTAGTGGAACAGTTAGCTGTCCCCTTTAAATGGGCTTGAGCTTTTCAGTTCATAGTCCCACCTCCCTGCTTCCATCATTAGCCTGACTGGTCTCTGCAGGGAGTCAGCCTACCCTTTGTCATTAGCCAAATCTAGGCTGGATTTGCTAAGGCTCTAGTATAGGGTGCAGTGCCCTGGGAGAGTTCAGCAGGACAGGGTTGTATGCTGCTTGGCTTAAGGGAGAAAGGGGGCTGCTGGGAATGATTAATTTCCCACCTGTAGTGAAGTCCTCTTGGAAGAGTGGTTGGGACCATAGATTGTGCTACCAAACTACCTGGGCTTATATGATGAATTGCCTCTGTGCCTCAGTTCCCCCATCTTTAAAGTTGGCACAATAAGCACTATAGTCATAAGGATTGAATGAGAACAGCAGTAAAGAATTTAGAGCAATGACTATACATAGTAAGAACTCAATAGATGTTAGCTAGTTATTGGGAAAGTTAAAATTTGTCTAGAAGATCAGAGGAGATCAAGTCTAATAACTAACACTATCTTTTCCCATGTGGGAAGCTGGCCAAGGGGAGCTCAATTCCCACAGTGACAGAGCAGATACTGGGACTCAATCTCCTTACAATCCCTTCTTCAGTTCTCTACTCCACCAAAGTACCCCCTCTCCTGAATAATAGCTATCGTTTATATAGTGTTGACTATTGTCTCCATCTCTGTACCAAAGGTATTTTTTCCTTTAATCCTCACAGCAACCATGTAGGCACCATATATATACTTAGGTGAGGTAACAGACAAGATGCAAAGAGATTGTGTCTTGCCCCAAAACAGCTGAGCTGGCAGAGTCAAGTTTCAAATACAGTCAGTCAGTCTTTAGTACCTGGCTGAAACTCCATGGGCTAACACTGAACCCAAGACTAAGCCCTGAGCTTGGCTTTGCGTTCCGGCAAGCTTGTTGCAGAGGAAGAATGCACCTGAATTGACAGCAGGGATGCCCAGACTCTCCCCTCCTTCCCTTGGGAAGAGGAGGAAATGCAAATTACCCCCAGGGCGCTGGTTTGAAAGTCTAAGTCCAGTCCCAGCCCAGTGACTTGAGCCCTTTCTGGGGCCTCAGTTTCTCGGGATGTTACAGAGGGAGGGCAGTTAGCCGCCAGATGGTAGTAGTGCTCACGTGTTCCTCAACACGCGGAACCTTTGACGCCGCAACAATGGGGAGCAGACGGCGCGCCGGAGCGGTGGAACCGCAGGACCGAGGGGCTGGGCGACGGGCCTGGGCGGGGCTGGAGGCGGAGGTGCCGCGTAGGCCGGGGAGGCCGGGCCCGCCCGGCTGGGAGCTCTAGCCCCATGCGCCGCCGCCGCCTCCCTCAACGATGTTCCCCTCCCGGAGGAAAGCGGCGCAGTTGCCCTGGGAGGACGGCAGGTGAGCGGCGGCGGCGGTCCCGGGCCCTCTCCTCCCGGTTGCCGACCTTTTCCGGGCCGCGAGGCGGAATCTAGGAGCCCGAGGCCGTCGCGTCTCGTCTCTATGGGGCTCTCTGAGGGTCTGTGGTTCTCCTTGTGGGTCACTGGGTCTCTCTGTATTTGGGTGCCTGCCTCTATGTGGGTCTCTGTCTCTACCAGTCTACGTCACTCTTCAGGTCTCCGTCACCTGTGGGTCTGTATTTCTCCGTTGACTTCCCTTTGTGAGTTTTTGTTTCTCTCTGCAAGTCGTTTTCTCTTACGGGTTTCTCCGGGTTTCTGTACTGGCCTATCTTCTTGCTGGCCTCGGACTTCGCTGACCTCTCTCAGTGGATCTATGCCTTTCTGTCTGTCCCTGGTCTGAGGGTCTATATTCCGTTTCTCTGGTCTCCACCTCCCCCATCACATTCATGTAGCCTCAGTGTCCGTGTCCCGTCGTCC